CAGGGACAGAGTGACGCGGGGGTGGCGTGGAGCGCCTTCGCGAAGGCATTTCAAGACGGACTGTATCTCCTGAGGACGTGCCGAGGAGTTGGCGAGTCTAGAGCCGACCAGTCCAGAGCAGTCAAGGCGGCGGTCGAGCAGCTACACTAGGCGGTAGCATCCTCGCTGGAGCAGCGCCGTTGGCTCTTCTGATACGACTCGAGCGACCCCGGTGCCATCTTGTGCTGGTCTCGTGGTCCCGAGCCAAGGAACGCGGCGACGATTGGGCCTGCTGGCCTCGCACAGTGGCTTGAGGCATGGACGACCATTAGAGGTCTGCGCTCACACCGTGCAATGGACCGGGCTCACAGCAGCCTGGGCGATGGTGTTCGATTCGCACTGCAGCCCATCCTGATCCGACTGAGACGACGCTGACACGCGAAGGGACAAAAAGATGATCAACGCAGGATTCGAACCTACGATCTTCCGTGCAATTTCTTGGCGCCGTGAGAGCACAGAATTGTAAGACGGACGCCTTACCACTAGGCCAGTTGATCGTTAAAGTTGCGAATTTCGTTAGGCGGCGCTCATGTTGCAATACTTAGGGGCATCATCAGCACATACCAGTTGCAGCAAGACATCTCAGTGTCAAAAAGTCATTCAGAAAAGTATCTACAGTCTTGCTAAATGCGCGTGAGCTCACGGAGTCGGCAAGGAACCGGCAGCGGTAGTCATAGTCTCGCCACGCCAACTCCCACTTACTCGAGACAGCCCGTGACCCAAAATCTGCCAACATTCGCCGTGCTCCAATGACATGATGACATGACATGCAGTGATGGTGACACCTGTAACTGGATATATTCCGGGCCTCCGCAAAAGCGCCGAGCCGTAGCCGTGCAGCAAGCTCACTCCTCCTCACTGATGGAGCTCTCATCCTCTTCGATGACCCGCGAGCTCTGCTTGGCGCGCACGGCGTCTGCGAACGAGGCCTCCGCCGCGTCCTTCGGCGCCTCCGCCTCGAGATCCTCGAAGGCAGCCATGAAGTCTGCCTCCAGCGCCGCCTTCATGTCGTCGTCGGCGTCGTCGCCGTCTGCAGCAGCACCCGTTGGCCCTGGCTCTGACCCTGGGCCCATGTCAGCACGTATCTGACTGCTGCCTTCGTCATCATCGCCATTGTCGTCGTCATCCTCTGCCGCGTGGGCCGGGATGCGACCGCCAGCATGCCCCCGCGCAGCAGCTGTGCGTTTCCGCCGCTCCTCTTCCTCGCGCTTGGCCTTGATCAGACCCGTCAGCCCGACGTGCTCCAGGCCCTCATCGTCATCGTCCACCTGGCCGAACCCGAACGCATCTTGGCTCATCTGGATGCGTGGCTTGGTCTCTCGGGGTGGCGAGCCCCAATCAACGGTGAGGTTGTCAGCGACGACCTCTATGCCACTCCTGCCGGCTAGCTGCGAGGGTGGGTCGAAGAGCGGTTGATCTGGTTTACTGACGGCATCCTGAGGACCATTCTCACGGCCAGAGACATCGCTATTGTCGCTTGCCCGCGTTGTCTCATCTGCTGCATTGGTGATCATGGATGGTATGTCGATGATGTCGCCGTCTTCATAGACCTGACCAGCGCGGTAAGTGTGTATGACCGGCTCGTCGTCGCGCTGGCGCTGGCCCTGCCGCTTGTCGCTGCCATTGGCTTTCCCAGTCGCACTCGCTCCCTCACCCGCAACCGCACCTGCCACCCCACTCGCAGAAGTCTTGGCGGAGGCGCCTGCGGCACCCACCTTCTTCCTCGACGTCTGTCGCAATGGGTCTGTGATGGTCCGTGACGCTGGCTTGGGGCGGACCGTGGTCTCCGCGCCTGCCTCGCCCGCAGCAGTCGTCACCTCGGTCGCAGCCGCCTTTTTCGAACCCCTCGCCGTCGCTCCTCCCCTTCCTACTCCAGTCGCGCCGCCCCTCTTTCCGCCTCGGGCCGTACCTCCTCTAGCAGCCGCACTGCCTGCCTTCGTGGACTTGGTCGACGGAGCCAAGGAGGTGGGCGCAGCGGGAGCAGGCATCGTCTCCTTGCGCAGATCCAAGGCCGAAGGAGGCCTCAGTGCCGGGCTTGTTGGCGGTCTGGGCGAGGCCCGGTCCGAGTCCCTCGCCCTCCAATCAGGCGTGAGGCCGCCTGTCTCGCTGCCGCTGCGCCGTCGCTCCGCCTTCTGCGCCGCCCTCCGCTTCTGTTCGTCTTGCCTCCGTGCGAAATGGCGCCAGTCGTACGGGTTCTCCGAATCCGGCTCGTCGTCCTGAGCTATGTCGCTGGCGCCGCCGTCGAGATTGTCGTCTGACAAGCACGGACCCACCTCGCCGACGACATCTAGGCGCTCGAGATGTTGCGGCTTGCCGCCAGGCGCGCTCGAGTCACGCGCAACGTTGAAGTTCAGTTGTGCGTCTAGCTCGTCAAGAATAAAAGCCTTCTTGCTGCGGTCGTAGATGAGAATCACGCTGCGAGCGCGCGTGCTGTCGCTGCCACCGTCATCGTCGTTGCTTCCCCCTTCGTTGTCGCCATTGGTGCTTGCAGTACCGTTGACACCAGCCGTGCCTGCCGCCCCTGCTCGACCCTTCCCACCTGCGCGACTGCCACCTATTGTCTTCGGGTCATGGCTTCCGTGGTATATCCACGTCTGGCTGGGATTCTCCTTCTCCTGTATCCTGAGTGTGTAGGGTGCTCCTGGTTGCGCTGCCTTCGAGGACGCCGACGATGCCGACGAGGGAGACTGTGACAGTGGTGCTGTCGGCTCCATCTGAACTAGCAGTGTCGAGAGAGGCGCGCGCGGTCTGTAATTGTACGAGACGCTGAACAGCTCTGCCGGTTTCACTGCTGCTGTGCTCCCCGTCTGCGCAGCGGCAGTGGGACCCGGCCTGTCGTCCGCAATCGTGCTACCATCCTCATTGCCGTCTCTGGCGGAACGGGAGTACTGCTGGTGCTGCTGTGACTGTTTCTGACGCCGTCTATGTCGACTCATGAGGCGATCCGACGCGAAGATGCTGTACTCTTTCTCTATAGTAGGATCGACGTCAAACCGTCTGGCTGGCAAGCGACCGGCATTGAGGCGGCCCACGCTTGCACCGTTGCCATTCGCGGTGCGTAGCACATTACCCGCACTCGTAGCGGGCGTGCCATTGCGATAGCCAGCGTGCGCATATGCGGCGGGTCTGCCTCTGGCTGCTGCTGCTGCTGTTGATGGTGTTGCGGACGATGCTGACAAGGCTGATGTCGGTGTTGGTGTCGATGTCGGCGCCGGTGTCGGTGTTGACGTCGATGCGGATGCCGATGCCGTCGCCATCACTGCTGCAGCGCAACTGCTACGTGGAGCGATGCATCCGCTCTCGCGTCCGTAGCTGCTGATCGACTACGCCGCTGCGCGCCGCTCCTCGCATTCGCTTTTGAGGGTTCGAGAGATTGCCGTGCCTGCGACGCGCGCTGGGAGTGAGGTCTGGCTAGCCTTGGCACAAGGCGCGAGGCACGAGGCACACGCTGGACCGTGTGTAGTGGTGTGTGTAGTGAACAGCACTGGCAGTGTCTTAGACCCCCCACGCCGTCGGGCGGTCGGCCGAGCTGCTGCTGCTGATCGTCGGCGGCGATGGAGTCGTCTCGCCCGGTCTCGAAGCTTGACGGATGGGATGCGGACAGGCGGGCCGATGCTGGCGGCGCGTAGTGCAGGCGTACACCGGCCGTGCTGCGACCGTCGTTTGCTAATGCTGGTGGTGGTTCAAGCACCGACGAAGGAACTTGCTCCTCAACGGTTGGGACAGCGCTGAGTGCAATGCATCAATGGTGGCCGCGAGAATGGACGTGGGCGACGCTGCACAGTCGTGGAGGATTCAACTGCGGAGACGTCGCGTGGTGCACCAGATGTCGATGCCGTGCAAGCGCAGAAGGCCGTGTGTCACGCCGTGCCGTCCGTCCCTCAGCCGGACTCAGGCAGTGCGAAGCGAAGCGATGCGAAGCGATGCGGTGCAGATAGACGAGACGGGAAGCCAGCGAAACAAAGGCTAAACGAAACGGACTTCGGACCAGGGCTGGCCGCTGGCTGCTGCCCGCTGCTCCACGTTAGGCTATCCGCCGGGCAGCAGCAGGTCAAGGCCAGGTCCGGTCAGGTAGACCTGCAGATCACAAGCGGGACCGACTGAGCTGCGCTTGACACGGCGGCGGCGGCCCCCTCCTCACCCCTGCACGGCGGATTGGTTGCCTTGCTTCTGCGACGGGTGCATCTGCACGAGCCCGCGAGTTGTCTACCTTCTTGCGCCGTGCCTGTTGGCGTGCAGGGAGCTCGTGGCAGGGCACAGCAGGACGGGGAGGAGAGCAGTTGAAGGAATGGCGCAACGCCTCTCTCGCTGACAGCTGCTGCCAGCTGCTACCTGGGGCCCAAGCGGGCATGGGAGCCGGGACTGGTGAACCACGGGTGCGAGCACGGAGCAGGCAAGGGTGAAGGGAGGCAAAGGCCTCAATGCAGCGCAAGGGCCAGCCGAGCCTAGCATTGCTTGCTGTCTGCGGGCTGGAAGTTGCTCGGACTGGTTGGACCGCATGGGAACAGGGCCGCGATGCTTGTTTCTCCAGACACGCCGGGGTGCAGCGAAGATCAGACCAGGGTGGACAGAAATCCGGGGCGAGGTGGGTAGTGACACGCAGTAGGAGTCCGGCACCACTAGACGGAGGTGACACTGGGTTCGCATGGACAGGCTAGGCGGCGAGGGTCACCATTTGCAATCACTTGTCCTGAGTCGCCTTGTGAAGCCTCCCAGGCAGATTGCCATTCATACTGTCGGCGTTGAGCTGAGGCAACGGTGTGACCCGGGCGTAGCTTGGGCACTCCGTGGAAGAATAAGGATGCCAATCCGCCATCAACCGCCAGTCTCTGCCAGTCTGTATGCGACAGCGGTGTGCTGCCTGCTGGGCCCTACTTTCAGGTACAAGCGATCGCCAAACCCGTGCCCAACGGCGTTGAAGGACTACCAACGCCCGCTGATGGTGCCAAACGCATTGCGGTGTCCCATGCAGGGCTGAGCAGGGCGCTTGGTCGGCCGCATTGCAGCCGCGCCAATACCGCCCCATGGCATCACGATGCCCAGAGTAGACAATCGGCCGTGCCAGACCGGCCATTCCAATGTTTCGCGGCGACTCCAAGCAGCCACTCCGGTTGCCAGTGTGCTCAGAGCTGGACGACTGTCAATGCCTGTGCCAGATGAAGCTGTGACTGGTGAATCGTCAAGCCTGTGCAGTCTCGCAAACGTGGCCTCCAGCTGGATAGTCAGGATCTCCTGTCCCTGGGCGCTTCGGCAACACGCCGAGCTGCCGCACGTCTGGGACAGAGTTGGAGCTGCTCTGGCTTGCTGCGCCAGGGCTTTGCGCCGGGTGCGGCTGCCAGTACAGTGCTGTCTTCTCATGGCGAATCGCATAAGTCCAGGACCATCAGCTGAGCAGCTCGAGTGCACGTGTCGACTGACCCAGTCCCACTCGCGTCCTCGATTGAGGATTGGGAAGCCCGCGGTAGGAGTAGCCCCTGACTATCATCGACCCCTGCGT